GTCCCAGACGGAGCAGAGAAGATTAACTAGAATTGAGTGGAGCTGCGTAGGAAGGCGAGGGACAGGCTATTAAAATACATAAGTGAAAATATTTATTCGAGTATAGTACTGCCCCCCAACTTTATGGATGATTTTATGGATTTAATTTTACATACTACACTTGAATAAAAATGTTAAATCATTGCTGAGGCTTTTGACAAATCTAAACAAAGTGCCAGAGAGGACGCAAATCTTAAGCAATTTAACGATGAAAACGATGGAGCTTGACAAGCAGCCGTTCACCCTCGCTAAAGACCGAGGCTTTTATCTCCTTGTTAACCATGGTTTACCGTGCCGAGCTGCTGCTAACTCTGTGTGTCTTCCTGTAAGTATGATGCAGTCATAATGCATTCACACTTTGATTGACAGGTTATCATTTCTGCACTGTTATCTCAGAGGCACTGTTTCAGAATGATAAAAATATTTTAAATGATATACCGGTAATATTAATAATAAAACAAATGCACTTTGAATATAACTTTTGTTAATGAAATATTTGTTTAAATCTGAGATCAGTGTTAAAGGTCTTTTATAATTAATGTGCCTTATTAAAAAAAAAAGGCCATTTGAGAAATTGTTTTGTTTGATAGACTTGTTTGTTAAGTTTATTTTAAATAGTATAATTTACAGTGTCATTTGGTTTTTGTCTTGTTTATTTTTGTTATGATCTTACCCTTTGACTAGTCTTATCTCCTGACATGTTATCGGTTATTATCGGTTATCAGCCATTAGAAGAAGAAAGTTATCGGTATCAGTTATCGTGCGTCCCTAACATATACAGTAAAATATTTTAGAAAATTATAATGTTGCTGTTGGCAAAAGGCTGACATCAAAGCAATATTTTGGCCACTGTAAAGTGGGTCTCTGCTCAAGATTTGATCTGAGCTTAGAGTGAGATTTCGCTGACCACTGTTGCCAACTCCTCAGTAAGAAAAGTCACTATTGGCTGAGCTAAAAGCTGCTAAATGACATCATCACCTAATTTGTTTATTTGGATGTTTGCCAATAATTGTGATCTAGGCTGTAATTAATGTTGAAGAGAAGGTGCTGCTCTGTGAGGCTACAGCAGTAGACTGGTAATAGCTCCACGAGCTAACATCATGTGAGGTCATTGTATTAAATTTAACCTCGTTTTCAAAATACCTGGATTATCCCTACTGAGATTATTTTATCCAGGCTGGACCGAGAGAACCTGTCTACATCAAGTTTGACTTTACTTTTACAAAGAAGCCAGATTAAAAATAGATGAAATAACCATTAACGTGTTTGAGCTTGGCCTACAGAGATTTCAGGGCAAATGATGGAAGTTTCTGACCTGTGTTGGGGAAAAGACGAGGAAGCATTCCTCCGTCTGACCGGCGTGGAGCTCTATGACACTGAGACCTGCTTCTGAAAAAAGCACAGACACCTCCTCACAATCATCATCACTGTCTTATTTTAACCTGAGTTACCAGCTCCAAACAGAGATCTATCAAAGCAAAGACAGTGCTTCACATACTTGTGCAGGGCTGAGAAGGCTGCACAGAGAAGTCCTCGTACTCCGACAAATCGAAGATGACTCGGGCTGCAGCTGAGGAACGATTTGTCAGACTGAACGGAATGACTTGTCGAGAACCAGTGTGGACTCCACTGAACTCAAAGTGGGACTGAAAAGACAATTAACAAGAGTACGGTCTTAAAATGCAACCAGTTTAGTTTCTATAAGTCATTTCGCTAAATAAGTCATGAAAAAGCTGAAAATACTTTTACTTGGTGTTTTTTTAGACCCCAGTCCAGCTGAGAGTATCTGTATGCAAATCARCCACCTGAACATGCCCATAAATATTAAACACCAAACACCTCATGAATGTTGATGCACAGAAACCAGAGCTGAGGAAAGTGGGTCTTTATGGTGAATCACAGCACCAGCTGTGAGAAACGAGACAAAGACCYGTTGTTTACAGAAACTCAGGCTGTTTACGAGCCGGGAAATATTTACGAGCCCTGAACACTAAAAAAAAACAAAACAAAACAAAAAATACCCTTTATGTCGTAACAGATGTGTTACAGCTGGAGAAAAACTGATTCTCTGCCATAACATTTCACTTCACGTTGATCACCAGGCTTGTTAACTTATCAAGACTAAATCCTTTAGGTATTTGAAGTTCTACTTAAACCAAACCATCATGTTTCCACCTCCGTGCTCGACTGTGGGGATGATATTCCTCGGGTTATACTTGGCATTTCTCCTCCTCTAAGCTGRTGTCAGTAAGCTGGATTTTGATCTCATCATCCAAACTTTCTCCAAATCAGTCCGGCCCACGGTGAAATTTATCTGGCCCAGTACTGGCCCACAAAACATACTAATGTTTGGTCTGGATACTGCAAAGAATGACGGCTATTTGGTGGCCCAGATGTGACTTGTCAGGGGTGGTCCATGCATGTGTCAGAACCACATAAACCAAACGATCAATATGAGTTTATCAATGGTTTCAGGCTGAMCCAATGCTGCACAATTCTCTTCTCATGATGAGAGTTTTTTTCTCCACATGCTAACTGTCAGTGGTGCGCATGATTCCATTAATCATTAAACAGCAGATTAACTTTGTCACTAACTTTAAAAACTATTAGCAGAGCAGTTAGCTTCAGTTAAATTAGGTTTTGCTAAMTTTTTGTTTAGCTGTACCCACCATTGCTAATTCTTGTCTTGTATCACTTCTTGATCAACAAAGTTTTCTGAACATAGATCATTACCACACTGATGTCTACATTAGGAGGCTCCACTGATCCAGCCACTCTCAGCTCCATGGACTTCATGTTCTTCAGAGCAATCTGTAACACAGGATTTTACAYAACACCTTTATGGAAATGAAACTTTAATGTGCCTGCAACATTAAATGTTTGTAATAAATATTTTTAGACAATACAATTGATAACATATTGCAAAAGAGAATAATTTAGAATAATAAAATGATTTAATTCTGCTGACATGAACAGTTGTTGAGATTTTCACATGTGAAGTAAGGGGAATGTATGAATGTGAACAGAGCGTTGCTACAACAGCTCAACACAGACTGTAGAGAAGAATCTGATGTTTCTGTAGATTATTTTGAATCAAAAGGAAAAAAATTGTATAGGTCCTCTGGACGGGTTCTTCTTTAATGAAACGTTTTGTCTCTCTTCCAAGAGAGACAAAACGTTTCATTAAAGAAGAACCCGTCCAGAGGACCTATACAATTTTTTTCCTTTTGATTTTTTACCTGGATTACTGAGATGCATCAGGACATTATTTTTGAATCATTACCAGTGAGAGAGGAAGAGTCAGAGATCAAATAATATTGTTTCAATAAACAAAGATCAGGSAGTTTTCTTTGTTAAGAGTTCCCCTTTGATGTCACAATTATGAGACAAAATGGGTAAAATTACGTGTATTATGTCAACTTTCTTAAATATTAAGATGTTTTTTTTTTACTTTTTGTTTTAGAAGGAGATGTATCACAGTGTCACAGGCACTTTAATATCCACTCTTTTCTTTCATCCTCTTTTACCTTGATCTTGGCATCAAATCTGAGGATGCAGTCTGGGTTGAAGTGGACTTTAACGTGCGCCAGTCCACAGCTTGGTACCACACCTTCACACGAACTCACCATCATACCAGGCACAGGGCACACGTCTAGAACCTGCCTCACACAGACATTAATGCTGAGTATCACTATATATATATATATGTACATACATGTATTGAAAATTTATCGTCATCACAATAACAGCCTGTGCAATATGCATATCACAAAAAACTGCATAAACTGCAATAAATGGTTGTCTCAAAGGTGTGCATTTATGAGTTTTGTCACTCAGACAAAATATTTCACCAATCAAATGGAGCCCTTCATGTATTTGACCAATTGGATGGATCTCTTCATATTTTAAAAGAAATCATGATGGAATGTAAATGATTAGTTTTTTTTTTGTTTTTCTGCTCTGAACCCAGGACAGAAAGACATCAACACTACCCACATATATATTTGTTCATTTATCACAAGTCATATCATCATTGCATTAAGCACTGTTATTGTACATTGCAGGTTTTCCTGATAAGGTGCAGCCCTAACCCTTACAGCTGATAAATGTAACAGCAGCTTGATTCAATCTGAGCTCTAGGCCTGCTGATGTTCCAGTTAAGTGAGCAGCAGTGTTATTTATTCTTGYCCTGTTCTGCTCATGAGTTACAATCAGACTGTGACGGTAGTCGCCTAAGGTCATGTGGGGACACAGATCTACATGGTCCATCCATAAAGGGGCTTCCATTCTACACTGGTTGCAGTAGATGTGTGGGAAATGTGAGCGGTGTGGATCCTGTTCAGCTGTGGACCAGGCCCAAGCAGTCCAACAGGTTTATGCTTGAAGGAGGTCTGACCCATGACGGAGGGACAGGTGGTGAGGCGCACACGCAGGATCTGCAGTTCCTGCTATGCCAGTGTGTCTGGGATGCCACCCACATCTCTTAGACTTATGTTTAAAAAAAAACAGGACTTGGGACTTGATGGAGAAGCTTTAGTTGGCAGCACAGGGATAAAATGGTTCTTGTGGTTGGTCACCAGGTTTTCACACATCTCGTGAGATTTTTCCACAGGACTGAGGACAAGAGACCAGTTAAAGGGTCCYGCATACACAATCTCAAACTGTACAGTCAACTACCACATGGCTGTGAGACGTTTGTTGTCGCCCATACCTTTCATAGTTAACCAGAAACACAGATCCAAGCTCTGGGAAGCCCCTCCATCCGCTGTGCATGTCAGACTACAGGGTTTCTTCCAGTTAAAACCTACACTTCAATACTCGCCATTGAACCACAAATCTGTCATGGAAAGAGTGTCATGTTTCAGCAGATGGATTTCTTCATGCATAATGTCTCTGCTGTCTCCATCCATGAGTTTTTGACCATTTGACTCATTAGAAGTGTCTGAAGAGTTGTATAGAAGAACAAACTTTCTGACTGCCTCAGACAACTACACCTCAAAACCATCYGTTGTTTGGACACACAACAGCCAGCTTCTGGAGGCTGAGTAGTTAAAGTAAAATGCCATTATTGCTGTCAGAGTGCTTTTCTGCATAAACATGCACACAAACTTCTGACTAAATCACACATTAAATGGCGTAATGAGACGGGGCGGACAAAACTGTTCTGAGAACAAAATGACACAATTTTCATCATGCAGCTACGTCAGTGAGTTGATTTGCATCTTTCGATGAGGTATGTAGGGTCTAGAAGCCACTCTATGATGTTAATGTGCTCTTCTTTGTTGTCCCTTCGATACAATGAAGTCATCCTGCACCCCCAATGAAAAACAACCCCAGTTTGACTGTGGGGGTGACATCCTTCGGGTCGTACTCAYAATTTCTCTTCCTCCAAATGCAGCAGGTTAAATTGAAGCCAAAGAGCTCCAATTTGCTCTCATCTGACTACAGAACCTTCCCTGGGTCATTCAGAAGTGCACAGACGTGATGTTMAGACGGGTCTGTACGTGTGTCTTCTGCAGCAGGGTCCATCTGCCTTCAGAACTTCAGGGTGGGATCTCACTGGGACTAGTTGGTGAACAGCATGCAAGTGAGTCTTCAAAACGTTTAACACATTTCTCAGCTTCTCCGATTGAGCCACAGAGGCACGCAGTCCTGTTGTTTGAGTTGTTTGAAGCATTTGTTCAACAGCTTCTCTTTCTAAATAATCATTAGAGCCATAGCTCGTCTCAAGAGCTCTACAGCTGTATTTGAACATCAGCACAGGAGTTCTCCTCCAGCAGAAACATGTGAGGAAWATGTCCAGGTCTAAGAATCACAGTAATGAACTAGATTAGTTCCTGAAGGAACTATTGAGTGTCCTGCCACAGAGCATCCATTAAACTTTTTTATTTACCTTTAGTACATGTTAGAGATCACTGTCAGCTACCACCATACCAAATTTCAGGTCWAAATCTGTAAAAATGACTGAATTAAAGTTCAGTTTGTATTCAGTATGCTTCACATTGCCCTCCTTTTGGCAGGACCCAGTTATAGTTATTGTAAATCTGCTCCAAATCATTTCTCCACTGTTATCCTGCAGGTTAAACCAGGGAATCTACAAAGGCTGAGTGCAAAACAAGCCGAGGWGAGTAGGATGTAGTTCTCCAAGCGGTGAGTAAAGGATGATTTTTCAAAAAACTGGAYGCTCAAAAAGCAGCGGCATGACTTGCTTCTCAGTTCATCGCAAAAACACTAAATTCAWTTAGACTAAAGCAGGAAATTTACCTATTTTTGCAATTTTCACATAATTTTGAGTTGCCATTTAATCCCCCAACAGTCACAGCGTTTTGACACACTAACTGTGGACAGGTGGTGTGTTTGTGTGTCTCTGAGTGAACCTGGTAATAGGCGTGGTTCTGTCCTGTGTTGTGTAAGACAGCTGTCCTGGTGGACGTTAGGTTGAGAGGCACAGAATCAAAGACGAGTCGTTTCTCTGGCAGCTGGACGGTGGTGGTTCCAACCTGACAGGAAGACGGCAAGAAAAAAGAAATGATCTCAGTTCCTCATCAAACACAACTTCTGGCTGTAAAACCTAAAAGCACTGAACAAAGTGTAAAGCTTGGTAATGGTAGCATCACGCTGGGGGTCATTTAATAAAGGAATGGAATAATGAATGAGCTAGATGCTTGAAACTTTGACACAGCGGTGGGCACAGCTAACCATGAAGTTAGCTTTGCTGATTGCTAATTCACCAAGTTTAAAAAAAAACAAACAGCGTTGCTCAAGCTAAACTGTTAAACAGGTAAAAACATTAACAAAAACATACCTTTACTTATAACCACTAAMTTAGTTTAAATCAGGAATAAAAGTGTTGGATCTTGTTTGACTGAAGTTCGGTCCRTTAGGGCTGCAGCTGCCCCGCTGCACGCTCTCTCTGCCTTTTTTCCCCTCCTCCCCTCCCGCTGTGCAGGACGTACAGCGGGCTGGTGTGTGGGTGTGTGTGTGTGTGTGTGTGTGTGTGTGTGTGTGTGTGTGTGTGTGTGGGTGTGTGTGTGTGTGTGTG